TTCTATTTGCCATTAGCTGCTGAAGATGTATAAAACAACATTTTCAACCCATTTATTCTTGTTTCCATCATTGGGCCTTCATTGAACCTTTTCAGGGACACCATGTCAACACATCCAACTTTACTGTACCTAAAGTAAACAGAAAGTAAACAGAACATTCCCTAACCCAAAACACCCGGCCTCCTGGGTCCTGGCACAGTTCTGTCTCTCAACATGTCAGCAGCTGATTACAAAAATCTAACACATTTGGAAAGTCAGGGTTTTATTATATATATTCCAGTTTTTGTTTCCATAGTTTAACTTGGTGAGAGAAAAAAGCTGGTGGGTAACAATATGGAGTAATTGTTACCAGACTGAGTAAAGTTTCATCTCACCTTCTGTGAGAGTTCTGCCAGCGCCATGCTTAAACAGGCTGCTACACTGGACTTCCCCACACCTGGAGGGATGAAAGTTCAACCTTTTACAATTTACATCAACTTTCACACTACATGTACATTGTACATGATGTTTGGTTACAAACTGATTACGTATGGCTTTAGTTAAACTACAGGGCTACAGCAGAACTGACTATAGTTTCACTACAGCAAATCTAATAAAAGTTTGAAGCCAAGTCTTAATTTTTTTGTACCTCCTTTCCCAGACAGAATGAGAATCTTGTGTTTGACGGCTCTCATCCTGGTGTCCAGAAGTTCCTGGTCTGGATCCCGCCCACCTGGGAACAAAATTATAAACAGGTAACATTACTTCAAGCAACTGGCATCTAAAAACAGTTCACGATGGTGTGCAGAGCCATTTTGAATGTGCTCTTACCTCAAAGTAACCAGAATGTACAGTACAGGTGAGACAAAAGGTGCAAAATTAATGAAATGAAACGTTATTTATATATATTCTACCTGTGTATCTCATTGTAAAAGCTGCCCAATTCAGCCTGCGGGCTGCAATTAGCAACTTATATGTATGTTGTATGCATGTTCTTTTCGAAATAAACCAGTCTATAATTATTGCATGTTCATTCCCCTGGGGGATAAATGCATGGATGTACAAAGAACAATGTACTAGAGAGTACTATAACTGTAGTACATTGTAATAGACAAAGGCTAACATTAGGTCTAAGGTATACAATGCTAAAAATAAAATTAAAAAAAAAAAGAAATATATCTATAAGTGGTATTGATCTAAGATCTAATGGCTTCTTCTCTCTTTTTGAAACATTAATTAATATTGAATATTTCACATGTATTTTTATAAGGTGCATGTTTACGGGTGCTACTCCATGTCACCTGTCCATGTAATGTACAACTGTAACCCACCTTGCTGCCTACAGAGCGCCTGTCCAGGACAGCCTTTACACATGTCAGCCTTTCCTGCCAACTCCTGCAGGGAGCATGCAACAAACAGAAGAGAAGTGCATTATTAAGGCACCAAGAGTTAAATACCTAGAGAGACTTTTTGACTCTGAACTGAACCACGTGACAACCAGCACCAAGTGACCACGTCTAGCGATATATTAGACGTTAAACAAGGACAACAACAACAACAACATTATTAGTGTTACATGTAGTTTTGATTAAAGAATGGAGAGCTTTTTGTTCCAGACATTTATTTTATCGACTACAAAGTTGGCATGTTGAACATCAACCTTCAGTACTAATATGCACACCTGCTAATTATCTGTCCTAGGATGGTCTGGACAGTTACTGAGGAAGTAAAAAAAAGTTTCAAAAGTAAAGAAATATTAAAGTTGCATTTCCTAATGAGATTTAATTCTACTTGCTGCTTCACATAGATTTTTTTTCACATCTAATCCCTTCCTTCCTTAATGCAAACTTCAGAATACCAATGCTTCCTTTTTCATCTTTCAAGTTTATTAGTTGGTGACAGTGACACAACAGTCCGCCAGATGGCGCTTTTGAGCGGTGCAGTTTTCTGGTCTTCAACCAAGGAGCTTCAACTTGTGTTTCCCAGCTGTTTACAAAATAATCGGGGTACTAGATAGCCCCGAAAGGTTTGAATAGGGCCTGCATGCAAGAGGAATTTCAATTGAACTTTGAATTGAGAGAAGAAAGCTGTTTTTCCCGATATATATTAAAGACACTCATGAGCTACATATAGTTAGCTGTTTACAAACAAGTTACTAACGTTAGTACTTACGGTTTCTGACGGGCATCCCGTAGCCGTAGCGGATTCTGAGCCCTCAGTTTTCTCCATTTCGCTGCAAAATCGGCTTCAACTCTAACGTAAACGCACCACAAGTACACCGATATCTACAGGCTGTGTACTTCTGCGGAACTTTTCTGATGTGATCCACAAGATTTTCGCCAGCGTGTTCGTAGTAGAGGGTACAAAGGTCACTAGGAACAAACCAATAACAAACTGCGAGGTAGCCATAAAATAAACTTTGCACCAGAAATTTGTCCTTCAGAAACGAGGACTTCCAAACAAATTGATAAAATTTCTATCCAAAAGCATGTTAAAATCCAGTAATCGTAGACCTAAAGCAAAATGCAATGTAAAATTTCTCCACCAAACATCACCCCGCTAGTCTCAATGGTTCGTCCCTTTCACAAGATGGCGGCGCTACGAGTCACGGCGCAGAAACTACTCCAGACCAACTCGGCGTTTTCTCCTCTCCTCGCCGTGCCAGCTCTCTCCAGAGCCTGCCACCATGAGCCGAACTTCGAGTACATCAATGTCAGCAAGGTGGGAGAGAAACAGAACGTCGGCATGATCGAACTGAACCGGCCCAAGGCTCTGAACGCGCTGTGCGACGGCCTGATGGCAGAGGTGAGTGCGGTACCGCAGGCTACAGACAGGGGGCGCTGTGACTACGTGCTGTAGGGTTTTGCTGCCACATGTGGATGGATTTTCCAATGTTACGGATGCGATACTCAAAAGATGATACCAAAGATCATATAGAGATGGAATTCATGAGGATAAAGGGGCCAAACAAGCTGAAAATTCCATGAATGAAGAATTATAGATATTGTGCTTAGAGCTAAGGGGGTGTGTCACCTTTTGACCTACTGAACTCTTGACTTGTGAGGTAGAGCAAGTTTTGTTGTCTTTAAAGCTCCTTGGTTGTCCATTTGGATGGATGTCCCATTTTTATGAATACAGTACATAATGTATGGTATCAAAGTCAAGATAGGAATCCAAATTAACATTAACACATGTTCTGTTGGTGTCCTTGTTTTGCATCTATGCCCTAGACGTGGTCTCTCACTCATACCTCTGACTGAGCTTTGGTAGCCAAATGGTTGCTTCAGAAGTTCAGAGTGCTGAAAGTTCAGTCACAAAGCCTTCTGCTGTTAAAGTTGAACTGTTCTTTCCACTCCAGCTACAGACAGCGCTTAAAGTTAAAGAGTTTGAGGCAGACACAGATGTGGGCTGTATCGTGCTGACGGGTTCTGGGCAGAAAGTTAACACCTTTAACAGCAGAAGGCTTTCTGATTGGAACCTGTACTTGAACTGTACTACATGTAGATGATGCCTTTTTACATGTATATGTTGCCTTTTTTACATGTATATGTTGCCTTTCCCAACAGCTACAAACAGCTCTGAAAGAGTTTGAGGCAGACACAGACGTGGGCTCTATTGTCCTGACGGGTGCCGGACAGAAAGCGTTCTGCTGTTAAAGTTTAACTGTTCTATAACATTAACTTTGTTTTCCACTGACTCACTCCAGGTACAAACAGCTCTAAAACAGTTTGAAGCAGACACAGATGTGGGCTGTATTGTCCTGACGGGTGCCGGACAGAAAGCCTTTGCGGCCGGGGCAGACATTAAGGAGATGTCAGGGAGACAGTTCCAGGAGGTAAGAATAAGATACATGGTTCAGGCAGATAATTGGGTACTTTCATGTGAAGTTAAGTAAAGTACAAGATGTAGTCAGTGGCTTCTGGGTACTTTCAATGGATCATGATGATCAAATAAACCATTGGGTCATGTGGCATAACGGCAGAGCGTTTGCCTTTGAACCAAGAGGTCCGGGGTTCGAACCCTGCCATGTCACCGATCTTGTGCCCTTGGGAAAGGTACTTCACACGACTTTCCTGGATGGAGGCCTGGCGAACCCCATCTCGTATTAGCCACAAAAACGTAGCAGAATTTTCAGCTAGTTTAAGGCGGCTGCCTCAAAATGAAAGAAGAAGTCTTTGGGTACTCAGATACTTTATTAACTCCATTACTAGCTTTCATACAAAGTAGTACATAGGTGTATGTATGTAGCTTACTAGTATCTTCCTAATAAATAAATCCTTCCCTCAGGTTTTTGGAGGGAACTTCTTGGCTCACTGGTCTCACCTTGCGGACACCACGAAGCCCGTCATCGCGGCCGTGAACGGTTACGCGCTCGGAGGCGGCTGTGAGATAGCCATGATGTGTGACATCATCTACGCTGGGGAGAAGGCACGGTGCGTTTGTTTGTTTGTTTTTTCTTTGTTTATCTAGAATCTCCACTAGTGATACAAAATTGTATGCTAATCTTCTTAGATTCCTTGTTACGTTTACCTGTGCAGAAGGAAAACATTATTGTTTTTGCTCTATTTCTTCTTCTTCTTTTCCAAGACATAAGGTCAATGAGCTAGACCAGGTGTCTGTCACCATGGTAACTGGTGCTGTAACAGACACCCTGTGTTGTTGGGTTACAGTTTGAAGTAAGACAAAGCTGGAGGAGCTGGTCACCATATATCAGACGAATGCATTTGAGTAACAATAAACAGAGCAGTAGTTTGTTAGGCTAGACCAATTGTGAAGGTAAACATCATGCATTTGCTTTGCAAATGTTACCTTTCTAGTTTACAAAGCAATACATAGCAAATTACAGTACTGTAGCTTACATTAACGTACATTATACAATGTCATGTATCTGTATGTCCTCCCCAGGTTCGGCCAGCCTGAGATTGCCCTGGGGACCATCCCTGGTGCAGGCGGGACCCAGCGACTCATCCGAGCAGTCGGGAAGTCTCTGGCCATGGAGATGTGTCTGACTGGGAACCCCATAACTGCACAGGAGGCACAACAGGCTGGGTTAGTTAGCAAGGTAACAATATGTTCCATACATAACACACTAGTTTGTACTACGTATTAATTAAAAGTTAAAACTTTTGGTCCAACACAAAAAGTTCTCTCACCTAGAGCTTTCGACCAGTCACTCTGGTCTTCCTCAGTAGACTGACCTAGTGAAGCTTGTGACGTGGCTTCTTTGAAGTGTGACACCAACACTGGGTCAAAGGTATCTTGTAGACGATGCTGGCCCCCGTCGCGGTTCAGTGAAGTGTGATGGGCCCTGATGTAAATAGCCTCCTTCACCCCTCTCAGGAAGTCCAAAATCCTTATTAGGTAGCAGGGAGAAGGTTAAAGTCCTCTTGTATCTACCCCAGGTT